ACACATAACAACACTAATTTGAGTCTCTCATTACTGCTGCCTGCTGTGACTGTTGCGTGTTCATTGTGTCTGGGTCTACAAATACATTTTGTTCCTAATCCCACTTCATGCCAGAAGAGAATAAATTGATGGGTCTAGAAAGCATCTTTCCTGTGGTCATTTGCTGCCTCAAGTCATGGGATGTACGCTGATGCATATGCTGCATGGATTGCTTTGATAAGTTTGTTACAGAATATCCACATTTTGCTATTGCAGTGGTAGAGGACAATCAGAACAATATGCCCATCTAGGCCAATATATCCTGAAAGGCAGGTGGTCTGGTGGTAAAAAAGCTTTGTTAAACATGAAATGCACCCTGCCATTTGTAGTGGATTTGATGGTAATTAAGTGCAATTTTAGAGGCAGTCATTGATGTAGTCCATTCTCCCTTTCCTCCTTCCTCAATACCTGTGTGAAGTAGTCTAGCTCATTGTCTATTTGTACACTTCCATAATGGACCATTCTTTTTTCTTTTTCTTGTTATTTCCTAATCACTGGCCATGGTATAGACTCAGAGCACTGAAACCATATGAATAGTGAATAGCCACAATCACATTTATTTCATTTCAACTAAACTAGCTCTAACAGTTTACGAGGCAAACTGCTAAAAATGGCATCTGAAACCAGTGTCTGCCTATCTTAAGTTTCCCAACATCACTACCAGCTTCACTGGTCTTGGCAATCATGGGACTTTATAAGGATTCCCTAGAATAATGACTTTAAAATGTCTCTCCCTGCATAGTTGTTAGCATAGTTAAGTATAACATTGACACAAATTTTCATCTGTAATTTATATAGCTGTAATTTATATAGCTGTAAAAACTGGAATTAAGTTTAGTGATTCTGGAAGCAATATTAAATAAGGTGGCATTCAACAGTTTGGATCACCTCATGTTGCAATTTGGCAGAAGATAGCAGCAATAAGATGAAGCATCATCTTTTTTGTTTTCATGCATTTTACATGACCAGCAGAACAGGTATGTACATTAGAACCATTAGTGGGTGTTACACCCAGTTACAGAGACACTTGCAGTAGGAATTTAAATAGGTTTAACAGCTATAGTTCAGGGCAACAGGAGCCCTGTTTAAATTATATTGACAGCTAACTTTTAAAGTCAGTTTACCTGAATCGGTTCTAAATCTGGTTATAATTCGGTGGGCAGTTTCCCCAAAGTTGAAAAGCTCTTCTCATTGACCAGAGATCGCTGCTTGTATTTCAACTCTGAACAATAATTTGGCTGAATTTCTTGGTTACTTTTAAAGGCAGCATGAGAGTTCCCATGTGTAGCACTTACTGGTTTTTAACTGGAGGTGAACAGTTTTAGCTTTGTGCCATGTCTAGAAATGGGTACAGAAATGGTAAATAGTTCCCTAAATCCACAGGATAATTAAATAAATAATGGGGAACATTTTTGGTCATCACCTAAAGCTTTTGCCTGATCACTGCTATAAATGTCTGCTGTAAAATATGTTGTGATATCCATTCATTATATGAATGAAGTGTTATGTGACAGTATATGACTGACAGTTGTTAAAATAGTGCAAAATATGCCATGGTCTCTATTCTGGTTTTCATCATTATTACAATCTAGATTTCAAGCTAATTTGGCTAGCTGTTCACCCTTCAGTATTGCCTTTAATGATGCATTAAATGGCTTAAATAAAACAAAGAATGCCCTAACACAAACTGTGTTGAAACATTTTTGTAACGTTTGAGGAAGTTTAACTTTACCCTTTTCAGCTTTATGCATAGCTGCACTTTCCTGTTTTCCTCTTATACCCAATAATTTAAAAAACATGTCGGTGATAAAATTATTAAAAATAATAATAAATGGTAGCACTCCCTTCTCATCTCAGAGGTTTTTGTAAAACATAAGTAACAATATAGCCTGATGAAAAAACTGAGGCATAGAAATGTGTTATCTTTTTTTCTCTCCAGGCCCACAGCGAGTTAGTGGCAGAACTGAAAAAGAGAACGTAGGTTCCCTGCCTTGCTCTGATTCTTTGAGCATGGCTACCTAAGCCCAAGATCTGAAACTGTAATTTTCAAATTACTCTTACATCTTAAATAGAGCAGTCCTTTTCTCTTAGGGAGAACTTTCTTGTTCCTCAGTAAGTAAATAACATTAAGAGGCAATTCAAAAAGGTGTATAATATGTGCTGAAGTTAGGCAAATATTTCTCGTTAGCAATCCATGCGACAACACAGACAGTTTTAGTGGAGGTCTGTGGCTCAGTGCCATCAGTGATTTAGAATACAGAACTAAGTGTCAGCACTTGTAGGTCCCTGTTCTGCTGCTGAGTTGACCATACAAACTATCTGTGCATCAATTTTTACATATGGAAACATTTTTCTGCCTCTTAGAGGTGTAAGGTTTAAAGATTTCTGGCTGCCTTATAAGTCTCATCTGAAAGGTACCATATAACTTCAAACTTAGCTGATCAACTAATATTATCTGAATATCTTTAACATGTCACCATATTTATCAAATAAACTTCTTGACAGGTATTTATTCTCACGTGTCCCTAGTTAACTAGTTAAATATTCTTTTCTCTCTCTCTCTCTCTCTCTCTCTCTCTCTGTCACACACACACATGCACACACACACACTGCAAATATTTTTATTTTAAAGCTTTTTAATAACATTCTTCAGTGTTTTAACAGTTTCAATTTCTGCAATGTTAGCAAAGCATTGAGTATTTGTCAATGGTTCTGTAAAAATCAAATGGTAATTATTATATAAGCTTTATCAATGGTATAAAATATTAAATGTTAATTTTCGGATAGCAGGTCTGGAATTGTCTTTTAGGATAATTTCAGTTCTACTGTGTTGAAAACTTCACTTTTTTTGCAAAACACCTAGGTGTGGTGTGTAGAGGGCAAGATGAAGTTATAGTAGACACTTCAAACTAATTGCATGTTCAGGCAACAAATGCATTTCTTAAAGTGCTCTATCTCTAATGTTTGAAAGTGTAAATTGTAAATTAAAAGTGTTTTCTCCCCCACTGTTATTATTCTACCATAGGATTCTATTTCTTCTCACGGGTTTTAACAGTACAATTAGAAAGTCCTACACTTGTGTTTCATCTCTCAAATTTCCATCTTATCCACATTTTTCCAACTATTTTAGTTGGTCTAATAAAAGATAATGGATTTACCCAAAAAACATTGCCATCTTACCCACAGGCTTTTTGATAGTTTTTGAGAATACGCTGTCATAGCTCTCTATTATAGAGCGAGATCCTATTCCTATAGATCTTGGGTATCTTAATACATTCAAACCAGTGACATTACTTTTATACTGAAGGTTTGACCCTACCTGTTCTTCCAGGATGTACATAACTGTCTATAAGGACTTGAAAGGTTTGGAGTTGGTCAACATAACAAAAAAGGCTGTTCCTGGGAGTATTGGGATGAAATCAAGTAAATGTAAATTAAACTAAATATCAAGCAAATATACATAAGAGTGACATCTATTAGTCCAGGCTATAATCTTACAAAGGAAGTGGTGGCTGACTTACCATTTTAGATATTTAAATCCAGTCTAGAAGACTCTAATAAATCTGTTCCGGGGAACATTCCTGCACTGGTGCTGGGGGGAGGGGAGGATGGACTAAATGAGCTATTACCAATAGCTCTTTTCCAAGTCTGTCTGATAGTTGGCTATGAGCATATTTAGCATAGTCACTAGTTTTTCTTTTTTTTTCTTTTGACTTGGAGAGCACTGGTGACATTGGCAGCGGCCCACTTCTCATGTTTGAGAAGGGTTTGTGGCAGGGCTGTCCCAAAATAGACTGCTTGTAAGAGGGGGCATCTAGACAGGAGTCTTACATGTTTTCTCAAGTTTCTTGGGAAGGGACTTCATGAGGGGCTGGTTTGTTTGTTTTTTTTAAGGGAAGGGGCTTTTGTTGCTAGTGGATTAGCTATCAAGTGATTTTTTTGTCTTCAAAATTCATAGAAAAAGAGCCTAGGCTGACAGAACAGTGACATTTTTGTGTGTAGCTTTTGCTTCATATATTTTGATATTTATGTGGTCTGTGGGGCTTTTTCTATGCTATTCCAAATTACACCTTTATTTTGCCTCTTCCTGGTAAAAGGAGAATCTTTTTCAGGAAAATATTAGATGGTCGTAGCCAAAGCATGTTTCTGAAAGGGAACTCCCTTCTAGTGGACTTGTACGTAATAGAAATTCAGTGAGAGTAAAATATAACATAGAGACTGAGCTGGGATTAACTCACTCAACCTCACTGCTGTGTCTACATTAGACTCTTGTTTTTATGAATTCTTATCAGTGGGTAGCAACAGCGGTAGCAGCTATTGACATTTTAACTATTGTACCATCTAATCCTAATCAGAGCAGATCTGGATGATGCAGTAGCTATTATGCTGGCAGCTGCTCCACTCTGTAGTGCTAATGGTGAGAATGTTAAAGAAAATAAATGCAATGGAGAGAAAGCTTCTGTGCTTCAAAGGTGCCGTTTGTAAAATAGGAATGATAGTACCCACCTTGCACAATAACAAGGTCTGTGTGAACCGGATATGTCAATATCTGATCTTGATAAGAGTTTGTTGAGAAAAAACTGGTGAAAATTTTATTTTTAATTAGTTGATTTTGATTTCAATAAATATAAGCAACTCTGAAATGTGGAAACTTCGCACAAAATGCTTTCTTCGCGTTTTTTTCTATCAATTCTACTGGATAGGAAACAAAGGGAAAGTGTGGGAAAGGGATGACTGCAGATCTCCAGTCCCAATTCAGTATCTTCATCAGAAAGCTATCCTTCTTGTCTCACATTTCTGTAGCGTGAAAGGCCCTAGTTGTTCCAGATGCAGAACAATACAATATGTAATGCAATATGAATTTTACCAAAACTCTGCTTATACTAAGAGTGCCATGTAAATATTATCCAGAAATCATTTTCCTCTCTTCTCTTTACCTTTTTTCACCATCTAATGCCCAGGGACTCCAGAAAGCCTAGCTGAGAAAGAAAGGCAGCTTATGGGTATGATCAATCAGCTGACCAGTTTACGGGAGCAGCTGCTGGCAGCTCACGATGAACAGAAGAAACTGGCTGCGTCACAAATTGAGAAACAACGCCAACAAATGGAGCTAGCTAAACAGCAACAAGAACAGGTGAGTGATTATTATAGTGACTCTAATTGGAAGTCCCTGTCCAGCAGTTTTAACTTTCCAATGATGTACTTTGGGGCCTGAAATTCCTCAAGTTTGTTCTCAGCCCAGAGGTAATTTTTCTTTTGTTTTTTCTGGGTGTGAAAAGTTGGATTAGAAAATATTGGGCACATTACTTTACTTTAGCAATGGTAAAACTTGTATTTTGTTTCTTTTAAAATAACTGCCCATAACATGGGGGCTGTGAAAAAATCGCCTCCAAGATGTCTTTATATTTATAAGTGCAAATAAGTGAGCAAGTTATGCCCTCCAGAGTAGGTTTCTGCCACTTGACAGCAGCAATGCTGAATGTGTGAGAGCAAAATTTGGCCTTCAGATTATATAGTGACACAGAGTAGGGCATGTGCCAAGTTTGGATAGAAGTAAATAAGTATGTAAATATGTAAAACAAAACCACTGAACAACATATGATAATGTTTTTCCCTTTTAAAAGACTTCCCTTTAAGTGCTAAAAATCAACACTTATAAGTATATACACCTACACTTTTCAAGTGCAAACTTGTCTTCTCACTTGAACAATTCTAACATATGACATAACATATGACATGTAAGCCTTTTCATGGACAGTGCCACATTTCCTAATGAGGTTTATATATACAGGTATATCAAAAGCAAATGCACGTGAATGTATGTGCAGTTTTGCATGAATACAGAAAATAATTAGAGACGCGGCTTAACATTTTCTAATGTATACTGAGTGCTGTTCTCCTAACACACTGTTACCCATGTGACTTTATATCTTTAGATCTTTGTACATTAAATAAATGGTTTTGAATGTATTTCATGGCATTAGATATTCCATATGTGCATTAACATAGGGAAGCAATGCATTTATACAAATGTCTGATCAATTCCAGCTCTTTCTTATTTAAGAAAAAAGAGCTTACAAAAAAAAGCAAAAAATCTTGTGACTTGTATGAAACTCAGACAAGACTGGGAATTCATTTTTGCCACATTTACACTGTTCTCCCACATTCATGTATATTGCAATATACACCTTTTGACAACATATAATAAAATCACTGCATTATGCATGGTGTTATGCTGTCCTCAGGAGCTAGGTCTTTGTATTTTCCAGTTCTTGGTCATTTAAAATCTTACCTTTAACACTGTATATTTTGCCTAAGCTGCTCTGAAGAGACCCATCCCTTTATCCTTATGTCCCACTTAACAAAAGCATTTATAGGCAATAGCAGGGAAAATGAATAATCGATTAAACGAGTGGTGATCTCACACTGATGCTATTACCCAGACATGGGTAGGGAGGCACAACTGATTCTCTTGCCCAGAGACATCCAGCAGGAGCTATTTCCAGTTTACTTTTACCTGCTGAGGTCACTATTGTTTTAGTGCCACTAAATAGTCTGAATGAGAAAAAGCAGAGTAGAAGAAAAGGCAGTAATAAAACAGTCTCATGGGACAGAAGTATTTTTTTCTCATTTAGAATTTTGTTTGCACTTCTGTATTATGTACAAACTGGAGTAATCTGATTTAAAATATATAAACAAAATTAGTTTTGATCATTTAGAGATACATTCCATAAGCACTGAGAACTTTTTTCCCCTTCCCTCAGGCTATCAAATTCATTACTAGTAGGTGTTTCTTATGGTGTTAGTTTAGTAATGGAAATTAAAAATGTATTTGAGGGGAGAGCCTCATCAGTTCTACCCTCAGTAAGTGTGTGTAATTACCATAAACACAGATTCTGCACACATGTCACAGGGGAAAGAACAGTCCTTCTAGTAATGATAGCAGTGCTCTCTTAGCTGTTCACAACAGTGGAGCTGTTTTGATAGCTGTAACAAAACTTGTGGAATTTTAAAAAGAAAAAGAATGCTTTTTAAATCTGAGGGGATAGGGGAATAAAAAAGGGTTATTCCCTTTCAGTTATCTGAGATCTCTCTACCCTTTCTTCTATTATTAGTAAAAATTGGTCAGAGTAGAACCCCTGTCACTTTATCAGCTGTGTCCCTGGAGGAAAAAGCCTAATACATTGAGTCAGGACACCTGGATGTAGATCCTCAACTGATATAAATTTACTTCAGTGGGGTTTTGGTTTTTGTTCCTGGCAATGATATAGTAAGCTGGCTTTGGTATATACTTCAGGCACTGAGAAGTTAATTAATTTTTTTTAAAGTCAAGTACCAATCTCTCTGTGCTTGCATTTCCCTATCTATAAAATATAGGTAATAATACCTTACTCCTAGGATTCATATTTGTAAAGCTCTTGGAAATCACCGGCAGGTAGGATGGAAGTTTGAAAAGTTTGTTACAGTTTGTTCATTCTGTTCTTTGCCATTTTTCCTTTCCTTCGTATCTGATGTCTTCCTCTCAGTGTTCTTACACCAGCAGAGAGAAGTGGCTGATCTCTTTTCCTGACCACCAGTGGCAACAGCCTTCCATAAATGCCTAGTGGGTAGGGAATCTTGTAGTCTATCTCCCCTCCTCTCAATACATACCAATGCCATCCATGAGTTTCTCTTTTACGTGAATACGAGCCATGGTTGTGTGTGTCTCCTGCCTTTCTAGCATGCCAGGCTGCTCTCATCCACACACTGCAACTTCGTTAGCTTAATAAAGTGGTGTAAAGAGCTAAGAGAGGTGGAAAATTCCTATGCATCAAATCCAAGAATAATGATACATAGCTTACATTTCTGATATGCAATTTTTCCACAGATTGCAAGACAGCAGCAGCAGCTCCTGCAGCAGCAACATAAAATTAACCTTCTGCAGCAACAGATCCAGGTCAGAGATCATATCTCTACCCATAATTCCTGTTCTGTCCTTTTCTTTTCCTTTCTCCTCTCAGTCATTACAGTCATGTTCTTTTTTAAAATCCTAACAGATAAGTTTTAGTATAATTTCAGGAAATAAGAAAGGACATTACCAACCTAAAATTCTATGATTCTGTGGAAGCCCTTGTTGTTATAATTGATTTTACACAGATAGGAAGCACCATTGACTTCAGAAGACTGTACTTAGGGCTTGAGGGATCAGGCCCTAGAACAGTGACGTGATCTGTATGTCATGATATACAAAAGTGTGCCTACCAGTGTTGGTGGGGAAGTGGGTTACTGATCCCCTCCCATTCTTTTCTCTGGTTTTCTGTTGTCATTTGCAAATCTAAAGGGGGCTCCATTTACATATAAGAAACATACAACACTATTTCTTGATGGAGGAGTCAGCCAAAAGGTGCTGGAGAACAACTGAGGAGGGCACACATCATTGAAACTGGTTGTTATTCCCTGTATTAAAATGTTATGGCTGTATTTACATTTCCTTCCTATGTGGTTTCACATATTCGTGTAATTTCACTTTTACATCTTCCTTCCTATAAACTGTATCCTCTGGAAGTCAACAGCTTGTTACAGTTAAAGGGCTAAAAATCTTTCCCTGCTCATTCATTTTCCAGTATGCATCAGTTTGAGTTTGCAATCATTGACTGTACTTTCTAAGACATTTAGCTACAGACCCAGCCCAAACTCCTGGTTCCAAAAAAAGTTAAAACTTTGCAGAAACGTGTAACTTATTTCTACAATTTGATAACTATACCATAAATCAAAATATTTTGGGGCAGTTTGGGTGCATGTCTGTCTTCGTAAAAGCTGGTTTTATGTATTATGCAGTGATTCTCATCAAATAAAAGCGTGTCTGATACAGTGCAGTGCTTGGCCCTTAGACAAGCCCTGAGTGTCCCTACTAAAGTCAGGGAGGTTGCAGGGTACAAAAGTCAGAGAAGAACTTAGCCCCAGAAAGCTGCATTACTTTCTGAATCATAATATTATTTCAAAATATCATGTCAGCCTGGACTCAGAAAAAGAACAGTAAACATTAAAATGCACTTTTATGAATTAAATTTTAAATCCTGGTGTCAGAGAAACTAATTTGAATCTATCAATTTTTGCTGGAGTTACAAATGGAGCAAAAATGTTAGACTGAAATATTTTAGGTCCTTTGAGCTAGTGCTACAGGATCATAGAAGGCAACTGGGTTTACCTTGCTCTTGAGAAGTTGGGGGCCAATAGTAATGTGCATGCTCGGCTACCTGTGTGTATCTATGCATTGTTAAGTTATGTTTGCTGGACTCTCTTCTTATATGCTTCAGCTTAGTTCCCTGGCGTATGTTACTGTTAGACTTCCTTGTCTAGGTTACAGTCTTACAATGTGTTTTGCTAGAATCCATTACCTAATCCATTCTAACATACCTTTTCCTTTAGCCAAGACAAACCCTTGGACTAGTTTAGGCCTGATCCTCTTTTGATGAGGATTTGAACTGGTAAAAGCTGCCTGTTAGAACAATGACATCTCCATTTAGCAGTGACAGCCTTGTTTAAATAAGGAGTTTAATTGCAGGTACAAGGCAGGGAAGGAGGAGTAGAAGCAAAGGTGGCAATCCTCTGGGGAGACACTGTTCCTCTACTCAGTTGCTGCTTACTATAGATTTAGAAATATCAGGTCCTGATCTAAAGCTCACTATTGTCAATAGGCTTTAGATCAGGGTCCAGCCCAGCTGCCTTTTGTAGTACTATTCAAATCTCTTGTTACACCATTTTTATGTTACTTTTCATCTTCCTTTCGAGTGTGTGTTGTGTGTTTGTGTGTGTATATGTGGGTGTGTGTACACTGTTACATTTGGAATAATGTAAGTCCTTTGGGGCCAGATTTTTACTTGAGTAATGAAAGGAGAATTAAACTTTGTCATGTGAAGAAATATCTAAAGTTTACATGTATGTACAACCTTGGGACAATCCCTGACAATCTAGGTGAGTGATCATAAAGCATTCCAAATCAGTGTAGTAAGTAGGTATTAATATGACTGTTCCACTAGTTCAGTAATGTTAGTAATTTTGGGCAGAGACCTTTCTGTAATGCTTCAGTCTCAGCTACAAAAAACATAAAGGCCATATCCTCAGCTGTTTTGCAACAGCATAACTCCAAGGAAATCAATGATATGACACTGCCTTCGACAGTCTGAGTAACTTGCCCTATACCTTCAGAGGCTTGTTTTTAAGTACCAGTCCTTTTTTCAAGCCTTGTCATATGAGATAGCACAGCATCTATTGTAAGTTATGCTAAAGGGAGTCTTAGGTTTGGTAGGCCTCAACTTTGATGCACATTTTTTCCCTTCCTGTTATACTTTATGAATACCAAGGGAGGGATTTTGAAACAAACAAACAAAAAAGGCTGTTGTATTTTCAATGAATAAATAAATAAATAAATAATCTTTTAGGTACTAGATACCCTACTGGAATAGGTGTTAAGAGAGGCAAAATATACTTTAGTTTTAAGTCTGTAGTGATTAACAATAGTGAAATGAAAGCTTTCTTATAAGCAGTGAATAAAAATAAATTGCACAAGCATAAGTTAGCCGTATCCCTTTTAAGTTTAGAGACTTGTAGATAAGAATGAAATATGCCTTCACCCAGGGTACTGGATAACACAGATTATTGATGATGAGATACAGAGCCTTTCATCTCTTGATCCCTTGTCTACGTTTGACCTAAGTCAGCAGTAAATAAAAGTTAACCATCTGATATATGTTGCTGGCCTAGGAAGCAAGTTGGTGACCTATCTTAGTTTTTTTCTAGAGATTTGGGATGAAAACTTGAACCTGATGAAGTCATTGGTCTAGATTTTCATGCCAAATGTCTCCTTCACACACAAATTTATGGGCACCTATACATGTGATGGAGCTCTGTTCCGATGTGTGCTAATTAGCAGATGGTGGAGAAGACTCAATTAATTGAGTCTGCTGGAACGTGCTGATTAGCGCTGTCCAGTAGCCTCTGTGTCACGTGTATCCAATGCCCCATGAGAGTTGGCACCCTTTGTTTTTTGGCAGCTGTCATAGAAGTCCAGGATTGAAGGAACAGGTATGGAAACTATACTGTATCTCATTTGCCTAGAGATGGTTCTCCAGAGCAAAGATTAGATATCATTAGTAGAAGAAAGCTTATGGTGATGCTGCCTCTGTTAAACCTGTACTGCACAATATATAACAGTTCAGTCTCAAGAGCTTTAAGTACAACGCCACATGCCCATAAAACCCCAATTAACTGCCAGTGAAATCAGAGGTGGAAAGACCGCTGCTGACTTCAGTGGGAGTAAGGTCAAGTCTTTAAAGCTTTTTTATAGAGAATGTGTGCTAATAATGATGCAAGGGGCAATATTTTCTTTCTGTTGCCTAAAAAACAGCTGATGACAGAAGTAAAAGTTTCTGACCAAAAATAAATAAATCCTATAGATGAGGAATTGGAGGCAATGGGTTGATCACATTGCTGCTATGGGTGCTTAAAATAGTCAGTGAGTTTTGCAACAGGATTAGGTTGGTAAAACAAAACTTTGACATGAAAATCAAAAGCACACATGGACTGCATCCAGACAAGCGTGGCCATGCAGTAGGTGGCACCACCGACACATCTGCGGTGCCACATACCACACATTCAGGTGTTCTCTGTGCTGCAAGATAGCAGCGTGGGGGGTTTTTGACTCCGGGAAATCCCAGAGTCAAAAAAAGTGGGGTGGCACATGCGGAGACAGTGCACACCACCCAAAACTGGCACCTGGCTGGCCAAAGCCATGCTGCGGCTGCCAGCTAGGCTCTGAGCAGTAGGATCGCTGTTGCTGCAGCCCCAGGACCCTAGGTAAGGCTGCAGGGCCAGCCTCTCCTACCCTACCTGGGATAACCTGCTGTGTGCCAGAGGATGCATGGCACAGGCATTCCCCAGGGACAAGTAGCAGTGGCACAGTGTGCCACAGTTAGTTGTCCCCGGGGACCCAAACATCCACGCTTATGTGGACGTGGCCATGGAGTTCAGATTTTTGACACTGCTGTATTTAATCTATCTCTCTTCTGGCACAGAGGTTTTTAAACAAAAAACGTTAGATTTATTGATAGAGAAGTTTCTACCAGGTTAGGATCACTATTCAATTTCATATGCAATTGAACACAACTTATTTGTGACAAAGGATTCATTTTACTTGTGCCAAATTTTTCTAAGCTTGTTAGTTACAGTAATTCCAGATAAATTATTACACAAAAAACTATTGAAATATTGTATTGAAAACATAATAATACCTTAAGGTTAAGAAAAGTACCTGACTGGCCTAATGATTTATGTCTTCTTTCTCTCAGTGTGCTAACTTGGAAACATTTCCTTCTCTCCATCTACCAAACAATCACCAATACATGCAATACAAAAGTGGGGAAAGATTACAAGGTATCTCTTCTCCTTAGAGGGCTAGAAACACAAAATATAGGTTCAGCTCAATGATATTAGCCATTTACATGATGCAGAAGAAAAATATATTTGCCATTTGAATTCATAAAAATTGACCTGGAGCATGGGCCTCCAGCTGAGAAGACAAATATGCCCTCTGACTATACCCTTTTCTTGGTCAAAGAGAAGGGGACATTTGCCAGACAGGAGAATAAGACATGTCTCTGTATAATAATGCCTAGGTTTCAAAAAAGGTCTGATCTCTTCGTATAACTTTCTTTACAAACTGGCCATAGGACGCTGTGTGGCCTCAAAGAAGGTCTTGGCAGCTTATGTAACAGCAAGTATACTAATTTTATTTGCTTTGCAAGATATACTCTTTACTGGGTATTCTAGAATTAGTTTGATAACCTCTGACTGCATGCGCTTTTAAAAATCACATGATCATAATACCATGAAGAAGTGTTGCTTTCTGTACCCACAGCTTTATCATATGTACTCACTCTGTTTGATGCTGTCTTAGAG